AAAGTCAGTTGCATTAACATTGTTGGGGTCATCAACATGAATATTAAAATCGCCACAAAGAACAATTCTGTCAAAATTTAAAACCAAAGTAGATAAAAATTCAGGAAGTTCTGATAAAAATCCTCCAGGCGGTTTTGGGGGGCGATAAATTATAACAAATATGATAGGTTGCAGCCCTCCAACTTTAAGAGTGAGAACTTCAAAGGAGTTAAATTCATCACAGCGTACTTGATGACATTTAAAAGTTTTCCTATACACGCTCACTAGCTCACCACTGACCCTCGGTTGACTAAAACAATCATATTGAGGCGGACATAGTTCAGCTAGCTGGCTATAGACATTCATTTGCAACCAGGATTCAGTTAAAAACATAAAATCTAGATTTGCAGACAAGATAAAATCATTTAAGATAAAAGTCTTACTTGACAGAGATCTCACATTGAAGACAGCCATTTTAAATGAGTTTGTTTTGGGTGCTGGAGTTGGTGCAGTTGTCCTAATCCTTAAGAGATTACTGTTATTTCTTTGTGGGATGTGCACATTTCGGTTTACTGGTCTATGCGTGATGATGACAGGAATAGTCTTTGGAACAGTGCTGGGAGCAGACGATGGAGGACAGCCAGTGTCCCACACTGTTCACATGTGAAAATGTCTCACCATAATTGCCCTGTTGAACAGTGACCTGACCAGGAAACAGGCCCTGATGGGAAGCCACTCTGCTGCCCATGCCGCATCCCCGGTGGGGGGAGGCAGAGGCAGACACAGTCTCCGGGGGACGTGGTGGGGCAGCCACACCCATGAGCCCTTAACCATGCCGCTCCCCCGACGAGGGGGGAGGGCAGGGATAGGCAACAGAGGAAGGATGGTCTTTCTGCAACATCGGAGCCAGGAACAGCCACCAGGGGCAATTCGGGGTTCAGTATCTTGCCCAAGGACACTGAGACACGCAACCAGGGGGAGCTGGGGATTGAACTGCTGACCTTCTGATTAACGGCCAACCCGCTCTACCTCCTGAGCCACAGCCGCCCCATCCCCACAAAGCAAATGTCCGCTGTCGTGGGCTCATACAGTTTGTGTGGGGAGGGGTGTGTGAAGGGACCTCTGATCGTGAACAGAGTGTACTGTTTGTTGCTTTGAGCATCAAGCTGCAGATTAGCCACTTGGCTAACATTAGCTATTCGTTAGCTCAATGTTAGCTTGCCTCGCCGTGGCAACCTAGTAGCGTCGAGGCCGGCGTCATCGGAGGTCAGATGATGCGTGGGTGCGCAGAAGGGGTAAACCCAATAGCAACAGCGAGGCCTATACGAAAAAGAATCTTCTGTTCTTATCAAAGAACAGCTGTATGTACTGTAACTGTACCTCTTTGACCAACACCACTGTGACTCTGATGACCTTTTACATACACAAAAAAGTAGATAAAGCTGGTTTTGAGCCAGTTTCTGACAGAACAGTCGGACTTTCACAGTGATTGTACATGCGCTGAGCCAACGTTCTCATTTGTTTTTTTACCACTATTTAATTTTTTTTATAACTTTTTATATAAAGATCTATGGTCTATGGAAAAGTCCTGAAAATGTTTAAATGTTGACTTACTTGAAACTTTTTTGATCAGTTGCATTGGCCTGAGCACCTGACAGACCTGTAAGCAAATGCCAAGAGAAGACAGAAAATAATCCAACACCCTGAAGTTGTCCGAACATTATTTTTTATTTAATTTGTTAAGTAAGAGTTCTGCTGTGATTGAGCATGCCGTCTTTAAAAGTGATTAATTAAATATGATGCTTTTGTTCCAGTTGTTAAGGTAACAGTCTCCATGGTCAAAATACTGAAGATGAGAAATTATATTAATTATATTCATTAACTCGTATAATTGATCAACAAAGGAGGATTACATACTAAAATTTGACATATTGTAAAATTGAAGTGTACATATTTGGTAGCAGTAAAAAAGTATATAGCCTATGGGTAATTTTAGGACACCAGTTACGGGGTCCTAAAGAGGTGCTATGTGTTTACATGGCAGCTCCTCCTCACAGTCTGAGTTGTGAACTTCTTCTGGTACCACATCCTTCTGCCCCTCAGAATCGGCCATCATGAAGTTAAGGCACGGATTATCTGGACGTAGGTAAAAAAAAAAAGTGGTTAGAAAGAGGTGAAGAGAGGAAAATGGAGGGAGAGACATGGAGCGAGGAAAAGAGATGAAATAAGATACAACTCTTCCCAAAGCAACTGGGACATGATTTCTGCAAAGACATCTTGCTGTTTTTGTTTTCTCTGTGGGGAAACTACACTGTAGGCTTTAACAGTGAAGTTATTTAATACTTCTGTGGTATGTCTTTTCGGCGTTGCACAAACTGGGAAAAACTTACCACAAACAAAAAAGTCAATAACTTGCCTTCAGTCTGACCACTGTCCAGTATCACCTTTTCTACAGTCTGAGTATAAACAGTTTCAGCCACACATTCTAGAACTCGCCGTGGGAAATTAAACAATATTGGTTTATTCGTTACTCTACCACATTTAAAAAAAATACATTATACAGTCCAGACAAGTCACCACATTTCAAAACATGCAGAACTTGGGTTTTTTGTATTCAAACATTACTGGATGCTTAGCATCTCCTCCCAGACATTTTTTTTTTTACATTTGTCTCAGTGCAGTATTCTTTGCCTTGAGATTTCCAGTATGAATGTTGAAAGGTTTTGCCATAAATGGGAGCTCTGGCTCTTCACGAGACGTCTCCATTGTGGAGGATGTCGCAGGACAGGGCAACCTTTGAACAGAATTTGGGCCTAACCTCCAGTGCCTTGAATAAGGTGCAGGGGTGTGAGATAAATGTAACTTGCGTGATCCCATGAAACTGTCGCGGCCGTTCTCACGCACACGCCTGCCCGCTGCCAGAGTTGGAATGTCAGACTTTTTCCTACAGTTTATCAACAGACAAAGACTGATCTGCTGTTTGATCTGAGTTTCCTGAATAATATAACTGTTTCTTTAACAGTTAGGCCACCAGGTCTTAAACAGGCAGCGACCTTTGCTGCTGTCTCTTATTCATTAAAAATAATCTATTAACTTCAACTGAACTAATTTGAAAGTTAATAGTTATATTATTTAGTTATAGACTCAATTATTTCATGTTGCGTGTTGCACATTTAGCGTTTGAAGTTTGGTAAAACATTTATACAAAATAATTGTTGTTATAGAGAGGTGGCAATGGAGCAGTAGATTAGACACTTGTCTTTGATTCCCACTGCAACACATCCACCAAATAAGTTATTGTCATGGGTGCTGCTTTACCATCCATGTTTTAATAGAGCCGCGGCCAGTTTTATCGGGGTGTGGGGGGTCTCAGTATATTTTCCTGCTTTTTTGCCCTTTGCCAATCACATGACTGAAGGTGGCCTGCCACCATGCCTTTGTGACCCAAAAGTCCTCTCCATTATGGAAAGGGCCATGCCCTGCTTTCCATTAAAACGTTCCTGCATCCTCCTTGTCCAAAGGGGTTATAATTGAAATTGAAAGCTCAAGACAAGGACATTAACAGGGTTGTTTCTTTAAAGGGATACTTTACAAAACAATTTTAGTTAAATTCAACAAATATTTCCTTATGGGTTGTTTTTATGGCAAAAACAGAGCTGCTCGGAGTGAGCAGCAGGTGGCGGTGGCACGAGAATGTAAAGAAACAGCGGTACATTCGAACATGGTGGACTATACATATATACTGTACACCTACAGAGCCTGCACCTGGAACAATATGTTAAAGGTCCAGTGTGTAATATTTCTGAGGATCTATTGACAGAAATGCTATATAAGATCCAGTGTAATCAACGTGGATTTTGCATTGTTTGTAAATTCTTGTCGACTCAATAAACTGCTATATCAGAGTTGGATCTGTTTGTTTGTGTTTCATTTGCATATTAATATAACATTCACGACTGCCATTATTGTGTCACAGTCTAATATGCAAAGTACATTGTCGTCTGTTGTAAACTTTGTGCAACCAGCAAAAAGTAAGCCACCAGTGTTCAGTTTCCACCTTTCACTGGCCAATCTCAGAGCACTATGCGGTCTGGGTGGGTTAGCTGGGTTATCTCCGTGACCCAGTGCTTGGGTGGCCATAGTGGCACCACCAGTATCAGTGACAACCCCTGCTCCCTGACTCTGACAGGGCGGGGAAGATTAGGCTGAGAGAGGGAAATGCATAGAGCAGTACCCTCGGCCATGGTACTAACAAGAAAATCATAACCATTCATGCACAAAAATTACTGTAGGTTGTAGTTTTTAATTCTGTTTAATTCTTACTTTAATATGTCTATTTAAATTATTCATTTACAATAAAAGTACAACACTGGTTGAGGTTGCCTGCAAAAAGTTAAGACATTAGAAAAATCAGATAAAATTTGCAAATGAAACTGAGTTTTCATCATCTGTCAGTGAAGCATCACCTCTCTACTCTTCTCTCTCTTCCTTCCCAGGATGCACCTGCAGGCCTCCTATCCTTATTTATAGCTCCATGTAAATGAAGAGGTCAAGTGTCAGCTCTCTGTACAATCAGAGGGAACTGTCTCTGACTGGAAACACACTGATGGTTTCATTATTAACATTTGGTCAATCAGAGAGAGTTTACCTAATGTGCTTGAATTATGTTCATACGTGCAGAGCCAGAGTACATCAGTATATCCTACAGTAGATGTTTATTATTAAAATATGAAAACACATGTAAAATTCCACCTAAAATGAGCAAATATGACAATTCAAAAACTATAAACAATCAGACTGATGAATCATTTATTTGAAAGTTAGGAAAGAACCAAATCTATGATAACAAACTCATGATTTTGTAATATCAGTGGGGAGACATTGCCTACACTGACAATAACAAAGACAGAAAATACTTTTCCCTTTACAGAAGATAAGAGACCAACAAATGTGACAAATCATGCAGATGTGAGCAAAGCTCCTCCTCCTGTCAGTCACTCTCAGTTTCAGTGTTGTATTAAATTGCTCCTCCAGCACCTCCTCTCCTCATCCTCCAAACCCTCTAATCTGTCAGCAGTAAGCTCACTTTCCAAGTTACAAGGCCATTCTCAGCACACACTGACACCATGCTGGGGACCCTCTGCACTCTCATCACTGCTCTAACATGTAAGGAGGCTGACTTACTGCAGCTTTGACCTCACGTTGGATTCATCAGTCTGTGTTTCTCTTGACTCCATGTCATCTTGTTGTTTCCAGGTGTGAGTGGTGTGACGGTGGTGACACAGAAGCCTCCTGTTGTGACGCTGAGGAAAGGAGAGACAGTCACCATGGACTGTAACCTGGGGATTGTTACTAACGATGCTGCTCGCTGGTATAAACAGATTCCTGGAGGAGTTCCTCAGTATGTAGTGAGGTTTTATCACAGCTGGAGCTCTCCAGAATATGGCTCTGGTTTCTCTTCACCCAAGTTCACATCTACTCATCAGTCTCAATCAGATTATCGTTTGATCATCAACAACGTGGAGGAGGGAGACTCAGCAGTCTATTACTGTAAAACATGGGACAGCTCTGTGAAAGAGTACGCATCACAGTGATTTACACTGTGACAAAAACCTCCTCACTGAACACTTCTGCTTTTTTTCTTAACAGGTAGTGAAGCCATCAGCCAATGTTTTCATGCTTTAAGAAAAGAACAGAAAATATGTTTACTAGTAAATGTTAACCTCTGAAACACAAATTATCATATCATATTCTGTTGTAAAAATCATTGTGTCTTGCCAGTTATCAGGCAAAGTGTATAAGGTTTGCAGCAGATTCTCATTTGCTAACTCTAAATACAAATAATGTGATAAATCTGTGCGGTGCACATGTGGTGATGATTGTTACAGAAACACTAGTTGCATTTTTCCTTCTTTCATCTTGAAACCAAAAGTTACAAACACTTACAGTTATGTCTTGTACGGCTGAAACACAACCAAATGAAAACGTTACATTTACCTGACAACTTGTCATACAGATTTAGTGATTCATGTTGTGTTTCCAATGAATGAAAAGCTGGAGCCTACATTCATATGGAGCATGCTACTTCAGTGAGAGGAAGTTATTACAAAAAGGTGATAAAAAAAAGAGATGTGAGATAAACAATTAAATTAACTCTATGAGCTGCTCATTACAGAACACTGTTTACACACACTTATGTAACTGTGGGAAACATGAATCCAGATTATATTTACTATGTAATCATCTGTATTTGCTAACATAACACATAACATGTTTAACAGAAACAATTGATGAGTTAATAATATTGATGAAAAGTAAAGAAACAGGATTCAAAATACAACAAGAACCACAAAAATATCACTTAACGTAGTCTAACCATGTTCCGTACACAACGATATTTTGACCTTTTCCCACCGATCGCTGAATAAATACTTCCAGGTTATACATAAACTATACACTCACCTAAAGTATTATTAGGAACACCATACTAATACTGTGTTTGACCCCCTTTCGACTGCCTTAATTCTACGTGGCATTGATTCAACAAGGTGCTGAAAGCATTCTTTAGAAATGGGCCATATTGATAGGATAGCATCTTGCAGTTGATGGAGATTTGTGGGATGCACATCCAGGGCACGAAGCTCCCGTTCCACCACATCCCAAAGATGCTCTATTGGGTTGAGATCTGGTGACTGTGGGGCCATTTTAGTACAGTGAACTCATTGTCATGTTCAAGAAACCAATTTGAAATGATTGGAGCTTTGTGACATGGTGCATTATCCTGCTGGAAGTAGCCATCAGAGGATGGGTACATGGTGGCCATAAAGGGATGGACATGGTCAGAAACAATGCTCAGGTAGGCCGTGGCATTTAAACGATGCCCAATTGGCACTAAGGGGCCTAAAGTGTGCCAAGAAAACATCCCCCACACCATTACACCACCACCACCAGCCTGCACAGTGGTAACAAGGCATGATGGATCCATGTTCTCATTCTGTTTACGCCAAATTCTGACTCTACCATCTGAATGTCTCAACAGAAATCGAGACTCATCAGACCAGGCAACATTTTTGGTGAGCTCTTGCAAATTGTAGCCTCTTTTTCCTATAGTATTGGAGATGAGTGGTACCCGGTGGGGTCTTCTGCTGTTGTAGCCCATCCGCCTCAAGGTTGTGCGTGTTGTGGCTTCACAAATGCTTTGCTGCATACCTCGGTTGTAACGAGTGGTTATTTCAGTCAAAGTTGCTCTTCTATCAGCTTGAATCAGTTGGCCCATTCTCTTCTGACCTCTAGCATCAACAAGGCATTTTCGCCCACAGGACTGCCGCCTACAGGATGTTTTTCCCTTTTCACACCATTCTTTGTAAACCCTAGAAATGGTTGTGCGTGAAAATCCCAGTAACTGAGCAGATTATGAAATACTGAGACCGGCCCGTCTGGCACCAACAACCATGCCACGCTAAAATTGCTTAAATCACCTTTCTTTCCCATTCTGACACTCAGTTTGGAGTTCAGGAGATTGTCTTGACCAGGGCCACACCCCTAAATGCATTGAAGCAACTGCCATGTGATTGGTTGATTAGATAATTGCATTAATTGAACAGGTGTTACTAATAATCCTTTAGGTGAGTGTATATGTGTGTCATCATCATTTCTCCCTCTTTTATCCCTGACCAAGGAAGAGAACCCCCGGCCGTTTGTTCCCGAGAGATTTCAGTAAGTTTGCTAGGTGCGCCCACTGCGCCTGCAAGCTACAGCCCAGATATAAGCTTTAGGTGGGGAGACAACTATAGCGGTGAAAATGTACATTTCAATTGGATTAATGCTTCTCACAGTACTATAGTCTTTATGAAATGATTATTATGTTATCACAAGTCAATAAATATATTACCTTTTGTTGAATAACTGCTTTGAAATGGGAATTCTTACGTCAATTCCGGACAATGGCCGCTTGGCGCCACTTTCGCACTGAGACAGGCAACAGAGACGCAGCATTTCTGTCAGCACAGACGCTGTTGCGTGCACTTGCGTGCAGTGATGATTATATTTATAATATTTTAACATTTAAAATTGTCATTCTTTAATAAATCAGCAATTAACTATAACTGAATTGATTGTGATGTTATTTCATAGCCAACTTTTCTTAAAAACTAATGTAATGTTTATGATACTGTTAAAAAATGATAGGATGTTATTTAATAAAATGTCATACATCAAATGATAGTTAGTAATTTTTATTCAGTTTTAGGTGTAACATAACATACAGTATGTTCATTTCAAAGGAAAATAAGAAAAGCAAGAGGAGGGAAAGTGAGGAAATGTCAGGCAAGAAAAAGCAGTACACAAAGCTAGAAAAGGCAGTTGAGGAGGAAGCAAGTCTACCAGCAGCAGCAGACCACCAGGGAGCACATTACAGTGCACTGCTGCGTGAGTGCAGCCGGGGAAAGCATTCCACCCTTCATCATTTACCCTGGCTGCCTCCCAAGTAATGCCTATCGGCTGGATGGGCCTCACAATGCCCTCTATGGGATCCAGGTGAAAGGGTACATGGACTCTGAGCTATTCCTCAAATGGCTCTGTCATTTTGTGCAGTATGCTCCGGAGGAAAGACCTATCATTCTAATCATGGACCAACACAAGACACATGTCTCAAAAAATCTAATTATGTACTGGGAAAAATAAATAGAAATTCTCTGCCTACCTGCCCACACCACACACATCCTACAGCCCCTGGATATTGCTGTCTTTAATCCCCTCAAGACTGCTTCCTCCACCATGGCTTCCAGGATGGGTCTAGTGCGAGGGGATCTTGTGGTCAGGAAGAAGTTTTCTTCTCTGCTGAGGAATGTTTACCCCTCTGCTCTCACTGCCCAAAATATTAAGGCTGGGTTCCGCAAGGCAGGCATCCTTCCTCTGTCCAGGGGGGCTGTGGACACAACCCAGGTAATTTTAACATTAATACAATGATAATTAATCCTCTAAGTTACTTGCATTTCTTTGTGGTATGCTAATGAGTAAATATGCTTTACTTTCTTAGGTGGTGAGAGTGCTCCCATCTGCTGACCAAAGGGATGCCACAGCATCCATCACTCCAGCCACGCCCTCAGCCACGGCATCCATCACTCCAGCCACTCCCTCAGCCACGCCATCCAGCGCTCCAGTCACTCCCTCAGCCACGCCATCCAGCGCTCCAGTCACTCCCTCAGCCACGCCTTCCATCACTCACGTCACTCCCTCAGCCACACCATCCAGCGCTCCAGTCACTCCCTCAGCCATGCCATCCAGTGCACCTGCTACTCTCTCACACACAACCAGCAATCCACCTACTGACACACAGACATCAGCCACTCCCTCCACCATTCCAAATTCACTGAATGCTTACAAACAAAAATTTATTTATTTGCAGTGACAATTAAACACAAAAACAGAAAGTGTTCCTTTCCCTGGCTCAGTGATGATATCAAACAATTAATGAAAGACAGAGACAATGCCCTTAAAAAAGCCAATAAGTCAAAACTATCTTGTGACAGACAAAAATTTGCTTTGTTACTGAATAAAGTGACTTTAGAGAGAACTATGAAAAGCAAAGGCAGACTTTTTTTATCACAGTTATTAAAAACTGTCATGGAAACTCAAAAGCTATTTGGGAAAAGATCAATAAACTAACAGGTAAAACTTCTTCCAGTAATAATTCAATACAGCTAAAGAACAGTGGCATGCTTTTGCAGGATCCATCTGCTGTGGCACAGACACTAAACGAGTATTTTGTTGATTCTGTTGAGACCATAACCAAAAGTTTCCCCGTGAAATATAACAACCTACCTGTCATTAGTTCAGATTTGTTAATTGAGCCCCCACTATATCCAAAATCTGTATCCATAGCCGATGTGGAAAAGGCAATTACACAGCTTAAGTCTTCATGAGCAAAAGACGTGTATAGGATGGACACACTCATGCTAAAACAAATAGGTCAGTCAATTATGGGTCCACTAACACATATCATTAATTTGTCACTAGATCAAGGGAAATTTCATGAGCCATGGAAACTTGCTAGTGTCATTCCCATATTTAAAGGTGGTAACTCCCTTCTTACATCTAATTACCGACCTATTAGCATTTTGCCAACAGTAACTGGTTGCTAAACAAATCACCAATCATCTTAATTGCAGTTATTTTCCTTTGCACTCAATGCAGTTTGGATTTAGGGCTAATCATTCTACAGAGACAGCAACATGTTATTTTTTGGAAAAGGTTAAATCAAATATGGACAAAGAAGGGATAGTGGAGCAATCTTTTTAGACCTTCGTAAAACATTTGATACAGTCAACCATTCAGTTTTACTGCACAAACTTAATGCATTTAATTTTTCCTCCAAATTCATTAGCCTCATTAATTCATACCTTTCATCTCGTTCACAAAGTGTAAGAATTGACCAATATAATTCTGCCCCCTTACTATTATCAACTGGTGTTCCACAGGGTTCAATTATAGGTCCAATTCTTTTCAGTTTATACATTAACGATTTACCATCTGTGTGTAAGAACTGTGACGCTTTGATGTATGCAGATGAAACAGTTATCTTGG